ACAGTATCACAGGTGTAGTATATGTCATTTTTGTGTTTTGATCACCTAGATTCATAGCAACCAGAAATCAAAAGGTTGTAAGGATCCCAACAGATGTGAAATGCAGAAGAACTAGAAGTCGCAGAAACCACCAGCACCTTTAGCCAGGCAGTACTCATTATTTGTGCTTATGTACCCTATCACATTTTTTTTAAACAGCATACCAACAAAACAAAAGTAAAAGCAACAAAATAAAAACAAGTGACTCTACAAATGTCTCATTATTTTATTAATGTCTTGTTATAACGATATAACATCTGCAGCACATACCTAAATGTCTTATCAATAAGCATGTACCCCACAATTCCCAGTTTTGCTGGAGACAGGTTGGCCATATCACAAGCTCTGATAAAAAAAATTTGCGCATAGAAGTAATGTGTGTCACTTCCAGGCTGAACCAGTGAAAAACTCCAGAGGAATACTGCACAAATTTCTATTCCATGACTTAGAACTAGTGGTGAGTTGGCAGGGTCAAGATGGATCCTTGAATCATTGCTTAAAGCAAATTGCCCTGGCAACCTGCTAGGTATGTGGCAGGTATTTATATATTATTAACACACAGAAATTTCTGGATCAGCTTTTCCCTGAAGCATAGTCTAGCCTAGCCAGACTAACACAATATCTTTGAACTTCCTCCTGCCTTCCTCATTGCCTTATAAAAAGTATAGTATAAAATATTTGAGTTTTTAAAAAAAAGTTGCATGTCACAGACTAGTGTTTAAATTCATGAATTATGTCTTCATTTTTCTCTGCTAGCCCTACTGAAGAAGTCTAAATGTCATTTGTCTCCTGGGGAAAATATATACAAGTATCAGAAATTTGTTTCTTTGCATTAAATATGTATGTCTGTTAAGGTAAAAATATCTCAGATTTGCATATTTAAAGCACTTCTTGCCAAGAAAGACTGTGTATAAGGAAGAATTTCATTAACTACAATTAACAGAGCAAAGAAGAATGTTACCATAATTCCAGATGGCATCTAAGTTGCTGGCCTAAGTCTATAAATGCAGACATATACATTAATTGCTAACACATCTTACTTAGCTGAAGGAGCCAGAATGTTCACAATCCAAACCATTCAGCTCTGTACTCAGTGAAGCTGAAGTGGCTGTAGTGGAAACACACTTAGGTTTCCCAGGATAACTAAAAACATTTGTATGTGCTTTTGGTCTTGATGCATTCTTAAAGATGGGTTAACCTCATCTAATCAAATGAAAACCTATGACACATATATTAAAATATACATAAGACCATATTTCCAACTGAGCACATTTCCACAACAGAAATTCCTAAAGGTTTAACTGCATATGTTTTTCAGCCTGGAGGAGTTGTGTCTGTGTCCTTAACTATTGGCATTAGAACTGTGATTTTTCCAGGATATAGTGGGAAGTGAGAGAATGGAAGCTGAGAAAAGGCATACTAAAATCACCAAGGACACATCTCTCTACCCCTCACCTCTGGAGCCTGATGTGCACCTCTTACGTGTCTTAGGAGCTAGTGAGGTATGAAGAGGATGGTGCAGGAGGTGGTGCAGGAGGGAGGTCAATCTGTGACCCTGCTCCACCTCAACACCTTTTCCCATTTGGAACTCCCAAAAGGAAGAAAAACACATTTCTTTTATGTAAGATTTTTTTCAAATCTGAGGGAAAAAGTACAAACAAAATATTCAGCAGAACAGTCTCAGTGTTCCTGAGATTGCACCAAATGTTTCCTGATCATTCATTCTCATTCACACCTTTGTTATCTCAGAACAGAACGGGTTGTTTCAACTTTCTCACTTGACTTTCACATTATAAGTATCAGAATTCTCAATACTGACTAGTACTGAAGGGATTGTGCTGAAGCCTCTCGTTGATGGTTTCATCAAGTATTAACAGGAATACAGAATTTAATATCATTCTCTAAATAAAATGCTCTGTATTACTCCCCCAAATTTTCTTTTCTTCACAAAATTTTGCTCATTTATTAAAATAAATTAATGCATGTCTATGGTATTCTCTACAATATCAACATTTGTCAAAAATATTCAATCAACTTCATTTGATTCAGTTGAATAATTTGGCCCCAGGCCAAATTATTATCTTGAATATACCTCTCCTTCACCTCTACTTCTGAAGAGATAATTGGGCACCACTCAGATGAAAGCATCATTTTCAGTTTCTTTCATATTTAGGCTATACCAGAAGATTTGTTATTTTGCAACTCAAATCTTATCATGTTATAGCCACATTAATACCTATTGCTTTTGCATGGGCTTCAAGACAATATCTAAACTTCTTGCTTTGCAACAGACAAGCTTTAATCTCAACTCATGCAAGTACCCATTATCTACAGTATTTTCTGGTACCATTAAATTCATTAGATTTTAAAAAATTGTTCCTGAACATGTTTTTGAGTTTACATATGCCATGTACTATGTTTACAATGCCTTCTCCAATTTCTTTATTTAAAAATTAAAACAAATTCTCCTATTGGTCTTTCAAAAACCAACTCAAATTATCCTTTTGCTTGAAGTGTTTTGATTATTTGGAATAAGTTACTCTAAAGCCTAGAGTAATTTAAAATGTGGCTGAACCTACAAGATCCTTGATAAGAGATGGACTCTATTTGCCACTGCAGTTCACTGTAGTAAATCACGAAGTCCTGCTCACACTCCAAAAGAGGGGAAACAGCCTCCACCTTCTTTAAGGATTACCAAAGAATTTATAGATGTATTCAAAAACCATCATAGAAGGTCCGCTATGGTCTGTCTTACAACACTGAATACATTGTATAATGGTTGAATTTAAAAGGATATTTTGAGCTTTAATGTTTCAACAATAAATCTGTATTTTGCTATTTCCATATCTTTAAATCTCAGAACTCCTAAAATTAGATTCTTCAATAAATGATTTAGGAAAACATGTAACTCTGTCTTATCCTTTATATAAAAGGATATCCTTTATAAAAAGGATCAAAATTTTGTGATAAAACTATAAATTTACCTGAGAAAAATATGAAAAAATATTTTTATATCTGAGGTACAAAATGCTTTTCTAAGAATGACACAAAATCCTAAAGTCATAAAGGATGAAAAACTGATAAGCATGCTATTTTAATAGTAGTTTTTAAAGGATTTAAACCAAAAGGAAACATAACAGACAAAACAGAAAATTAGTAATAATATATACGATAGACAAAAATGTAATCTTTCTAATATATAAAGAGTTCTTATGATCAGCAAGATGAAGTGTACAGAATAGTAAGGAGACTTCCATTTCAAGAAGACTGAGCACATGACATACTCTCCTTTCCTGTTAAAAAGTTACCCTACAACATTAGAAAATAATTTTTAAATGTATGTTGGTCATTAAAAATATAAAGAAAACCAGGAATGATGGCCTGTGCCTGCAATCCCTGCTAAGGAGTCAGAGGCAGGAGAATCAAGAGTTCAAGACCAGACCAGGCAAAGTTGGCACAGATCCTGTCTCAAAGTACAAACAAAAGGGCTAGGGATGCGGCTTAAGAGTAAAGTGCTCGCTTAGCATGTGCAAGGGCCTGGTTCGATTACCAATACTGTCAAAACAAATGAACCTTTCAATATACTGTGAGCTCTGATAATACTCTGGATATGGATTAGAATTTGATTGTTTGTAAGTAATAGATCCAGAATAGTAGTAACATAAGTGAGTGAAAAAATTTAAAGCTATATCTCTACACTCTCGGGTAAATTTCAAGCCAGGTATGGTAGTGTCAACACACAAAATCTTCATTAACCCTAAGCCTTTAGTTTACTACTTTGCCATCCCTTGGGTATGGCTGTCACCTTACGGTCAATGGTGTCACAAGATCTCCAGCCTTCCTATCTATATCCCAGCAAGTATCCAAAAGGAGTTACTCATTGAGGAGAGCTCCTGAAAGCCACCGCATGCATTTCACCTTGCATCTCATTGGCCAGAACTTAGTCATGTGGCCATGGCAAGAGATATTTAAAAATACTGTCTTTATTCTGTGCATTTACATACTAAGCTAAAAATCAGGGGATTTTATGAGAAGAGAGGAAGAACATATATTTGGAAATATCGCCAGCCTCTATTCTCACTAAAAACAAAGATCAGATAGAAGCATATTGAAGAGAAACCTCAGTGCAAAACATTATTTCTCTCTGTCACTTTGTTTCTCTGTCTCTCTCTCTCTTTCTATTACCCTAAGTTGAGCAACTATGGTCCATTTCAGACTGCCCACCATATATTCTGTGTCACCACAGGCCCAGAAAAAAATGGAGACAAGAAACCATGGACTGAGACCTCTGAAACTGAGCCAAGATAAATCTTTCCTCCTTTTCAGTTGTTTACATCAGGTATTTATATCAGACTGGTGTTTACATTTTAATTGGGAAGGAGACATTAAAACACTAATAAATTAATAAAGTAATTTCAGGTACAAAATTACAAGAGAAAACACAGAAAGTGTCATTTAAGGAGATGACACTTGAGTTGAGATCTGAATATGCAAGGCTTAGTAAATTTAACACTGTTCCCCATCACACACAAAAAAGACACGTTCATCTCTTAATCCACAGGACTTGTGAATATGACCTCATTTGGCAAAGGGGTCTTTATAGGTGTGATTAACATCTTAAGATGAGGGAGCCACCCTGGATTATATAGGTGAGTCTGAACTCCAATAAGAGAAATACAAGCATATTTGAGACAGAAAGAAGACACCACACACAGAAAGAATGGATCCACCCCGAGAATCTCCAGAGGGAGTATAACCCACTGACCATGATTTCAGATTTCTGGATTCCACATCTGTGAGAAACGATTTCTTTTGTTCTTAATCAGAGTTCATAATGACTTATTATATCACCCAAGATAACTAATGCAGAAGACACCCATTCAAGATCTGATGGAAGTGCATGCTAACCAAAAGGAACAAGTAAACATGTCTAAGATCATCAACAGAGATTTACCACTCACCAAATGCATGAAAGAAGACTGGAGTAAATACACCATATTCACAAAGACACCAGCTTTTCCAAATTAGTCTGCAAGAGCAATGCCACTTCAATTATTGTCTCAAAAAGATTTCTCACGAAACTTTACAAATTGATTTTTAGATTTAGATAGAAGATCGTAGCCAAACAAATCTGGAAAACAAAATAACAAGATATAAGATTTGCTTAACATATATGCTTTATTACAAAGTTGTAGCAATTAAGAGAATACAATATTTCTATAAGAATCAAAAAATGGATTGATAAAAGCTTCACATTAAAACCCAGAAACACTTACGTACACACACTTGACAAGCAGAGCTGGAATTTTAGATCAGAGGAGCAAAGACAAGTATTCAGTAATAATGCAGACACACACACAAATGATTCATACATTATACCGTATATAAAAGTAAATTACAAGTAGTTTAAAAATAAATATAAAATACTAACTTTATAAACCTTGGAAGAAAATATTAAAAATACATTCATAACTTCCAGGTAGAAAACATTTTCTTAAATGACACTCCAAAGTCTAGAACTACAAAGAAAAAATATTTTGTAATTTTGACTCCTTAAAGTATTAAAAGACAATATTAACATAGTGAGGTGAAAAGGCTCATAGTAGAAATAATTTGCAATTCACATAACTGACAAAGAATAAGTATCCAGAAGATATAAAGATTTATACATTCAATATGAAAAGACAAAGTTTCAATTTTGCAAGATGAAAAAGTTCCTGACATGCAATAAAAATATGTGATAACTGGGGCTGGTGGAGTAGCTCAAGTGGCAGAGTGCCTGCCTAGCAAGCATGAGGCCCTGAGTTCAAACCCCAGTACCACCAAAAAAAAAAAAAAGTCAAAATTAAATGTGACAACTATAATTAGCAATACTGTATCATATACTTGAAATTTGTAATAGAGTAGTTCTTAACTGTTCTTACCACAAGATAGTAATTATATGAAGTTCTGTTCATTAGCTTGATTGGAGTCATCATTTCACAATTATATGCTTATATCAGAACATCAAGTCATCCACTACCAGTGCAGGCATTTGGGATGTACTGCCCAAATAATTTAAAAACAGTAATCAACGCAACTAAAAGCCCATCTGCTGCTAATTATCACCATGTACTGGCAACTCTGCATCCTGTCAATGACAAAATACTTCTCTGCTGTGATAGACCCTCCTACTGGCCACACTTTTCTTCTGCCACTACTCTCTTACACCTTCCTCCCTCCATAGTACTCAAAATTCTGACTGTTTAAATACAGTATCCAGCATATTCTGTATCTAAAACAAGTTCCTGAACCTGGCTAAAGAAAAACACACAATGATCCCATTTGTATATTCATGACTTCAAATATCAAATGGGAACTCAACACTAGTGATCATTACACTACACTTTCCTGGTGTATTTGTGTCCCCACTGTTCACATTACTGCTTCACACTTCTTTTTTCCTTCTCAAATCAACAACATTCTTTACCATCCCCCTCACTATCTGTTAATGACCTGACTTACAATTCTTTGAGCAAGTACAAGAATTGAGGTGAGAACTCCCTCACTTTCATGCCATCAAATAAATCCTTCCCACCTGTAAATTTTACCTTTCCTTCATCTCTTCTAATAGATGAGGTACTTCTACTCCTGCATGCTTCACCATTTCACATCCTACATGACTTTTCTAATGACTTGATGCATGTATAAACCTCCTATCTCTCAGTTGGATGATTATTCATAATAAATTATGATGGACGGATGGATGGTGGATGGATGGATGAATGAAGAGCTGTTCCCTTGTTCATGTCTCATTTTTCAACTACAACCTTATTTCTCTGCTTATTTGCCCAACAAAACACTAAAAGAGATGTCCAAAATCATTCTTTCCATTTCTTCACTTCCTATCTCCTCCTTAATCTGATTTAACTGGACTTTGCCCCCACCATTGCAAAAAGCAGTGCTAAGCAAGATCACCAACAAGCCCTGTCATGTCCAAGCCAAAGCCACTTCTCTGCTCTTATCTTTAACACTTAGCAGCACTCATGTCTTTCACTACACTCTGTTCCTTCAGACATTTCCTTCTCTGTGACACCACATTATCTTCTTCTTCTTGCCTAACTGCTCCTTCTCAATTCACTTACATCATTAGACCCAAACTTTATGCTTTATTTTCAAAAATCTGTATTTTCAGCTTCGTCTTCTCTCTCAAATTCTCTGTCTAAATGACATTTATTTATATGCTAACATGTCCAAACACTGCTCTTAATTTTCCTCCATTTATGTTCTTCCTTCATCATACTCTTATCCACAAATGACACTACAACCACCTAGCTAATCGAACCAGATACACAATAGTTTTCTTTTTTGTCACGTCTCAAATTAATCCAAAAATCTTGGGTAATACTTTGTGAACTAATGGGCCTACTTATTGGCACAGTGGAGCAGTGTTTTTGAAGTGAGACTGTGTTCCTGTTCATGTAGAGAAGTAGAGAGAGAGAAAGAGAGAGAGAGAGAGAGAGAGAGATGATTGTGGCTGATGGCTTTCCACCTGATACAGCCATCTGAGAAATAGCAATGGCAGTAAAAAGGCATTTGCTATGGTCCACCCAGAGCAGCAACATCTGCAATAGCAGTTCAGAATGATACCATCCATCAGACTCTCTCAGTTTTTTGAAGATAGAAACTTGCAGCAACCTCATTAAATTATGTATGCCTTCATAATCCACATGGATTTGTGGAAGCCGCATAACTTAACTCACTTTGGATGCCTGCACATTCAAGGTGTTCCATTCCCTGTACTTGGTGTGTGAAATGCCTGGTATGTACACATGTGGCCTTTATTAGGATATCAATCGGTGTGGTACAGAATACAAAAGTCAGTTAGGAAGAATAGATAGAACTCCACAATTTTTGCAAAGAAAGGATTCTTGACTCATTGATCTTAAATTCTAAATACCTTATGAAACAGGTATAATACATATCACTTTTTAGAATTTAAAATTCCTATTAATTTATGTAGTATTTTTAAGTATTACAGAATAAAGCATATGTTAAGTACCAGAGAATATAGATATCGGCATTTTTGGGACAACTCATCATGACAGGTACCACCTGAGGTAAACATTATTTTGCACTTGAGGGACTACCAACGTGAACTAAATAAATTATTGCCTTATCTATCAATTAGTAAGTAATAGAATAGAGATGCAGCCTTTACTGTTTTTCCTTAACCCTACAGCATCTCCCACTTAAACATATTGCATTATCTTCTCTTTGAATTGTACATATCTTAGTTAACAACTAGGACATAGCACATAACTAAACTGCTCATACAGCAAACATAATTTATCTAAAATATTTTAAGATGCCATATAAGCATTAAACATTCTTATTATTTTTCAATTGTTTAAGTTAATTTTTTAAATATAATATTTTGATGGTCTCAAATGATAATGTATGGGCTCAAGCAATGGGGCACCTGTTTTTTAAGTGAGAATCGCAGACCCACCAAAAAAATAAAAAAGATAATGTGGAAAACTGATAGAAATTGAAAACTTAGGCAGAAATTCTATTTATGTTACAGTGATACAGCTAACTAAATTAAATCAATATATGACTGAAACTTAATAAATATTTGGTAAAATTTATGAGATAGTGGTTAATCTTATTCAAGTGGGATAGGAAATAGTTTTTTTCTCCCCAGAATGGGAACTTCAATGCCAAGGAAACTTATTGTCTGCCTATCAATTAGTTTCAGAAAGTCACCAGTACTTTTCTGAAAGTCAGACTAATATTGCTACTGTAACTTAAAATTGAATACAACTGCCTTCTGAGACTTTTTGTCATCTTGAATCTTTTTGTAATTTTTCCTGAAATAACCAGTTAGGAAAGTTTAATGTGCCAAGAGTCAAAAAAAATGCCATCCTGGTAAGTGCTCACAAAAAGGATGTGAATCTAAAATCAGCTTTGATTTATTTCAGGGCATTAGTAAAACAGGCTTAAAATCCAAATTTTTCAGTCAATTAATTTGGTTTAAGTATGAAATGCATTGGGATAAAATCAGTCCAAGCTCTAGAACTTTTCCATTCAAATCACTGACTACAGCATAACAATGTTACCACTGTTATCTATATCATTGTCACCAATCCTTCACACATTCCTAAATATCCAAATATAAAGAATATCTGGTCAGGAATGTGGATGGAGACTCAGAATCTTGGTTGTTCTTTCCTCACAACAAACAAAAATAATACCTTGAGCCTAACTTAATCTATGATTGCAAATAAAATGTATCAGTGATTTTGAGCAACAGAAGCAATTCTTGGTCAGCTATCAATTGCCTCAAGAGTAAGCCTTTCCTGGCTGATGTTGTTTTTATTTTGTTTTGTTTTTAACTTTTTAAAAAAATTAAATGCTTGGGACCAAGAATTATTTCTTATGAAATAAGTAATAAAAACTGTACTGACAAAAAACTATAAATAAATAAATAAAAATGTTCTAAAATCTATGCTGAACTATATGACTTATCATGGTTAAGAAATTAATTTTAAATAAGAAAAAATGAAATAAAACATATTGCTGAAATAAGGTGAGAAAATCAAATAAGATTTTAAAAGTTGCCCTGGGTAAAATGGGTAATTAATTTAAGTAATTTCTCTAATTATTTTAGTATAGTATAATAATCACCCTATTATGGAGCACTATTCTATTTAATTGGTCAACCCATTTTCCTAGTTTGTCTACATTGTTTTCTTTCTATAATTTTTTCACATATAAAGTAGACATGGTATTATTGTTCCTGACACATAGAAAAAGAATTTAAAGCACTTACTTCAATTACAACATGCAGAACAATTAAAAATTAAAACCTTACTAAACAACATGGCTATTAAGCACATGGCTGACATTTAATAAATTTTACATGTATTTTTTCTTTCCTTCATTCTTGCCTTGTTCTCCCTCTTTATATTAAGAGTGGGAAACCACTGAACCAGGAGGTGGGAGAATCTTTCCAGTACTCTGCCAATAACTACTAAACACCAGTTCAACCTCAGCACCCTTTCCCATAAATCTAGGGAAACCCTCTTTCTTTTTCCTACTCATACAGCTCTGTGACTGTGAAGTGAGAGGACACATGTAAAA